GCTACCCATAATGAGAGTCTTGATTAGAATTGAGGCGTAGTGCCTAAGGCACTTGACTGCTAACCAGAAGGCTAGTGGTTCAAACCCACCAGTCACTCCTCAGAAGGAAGGTTGGGCAATCTACTTCCGTAGTTGCTACTGCCTCGGAAATCCAAGGAGGGGTTGCTATGAGTCGGGTCCGACTCACAGCAAATAACAACAACCCATAGTATAACTCACTTGGGAGCTCTGGTATAGTGCCTAAGGCATTTGACTGCTCACCAGAAGGCTCGTGGTTCAGACCCACCAGCCACTCCTAGGAAGAAAGATTGTACAATCTACTTCCGTAGAGATACTGCCTCAGAAACCCAAGGAGGGGCTGTTATGAGTCAAAATCAACTCAATGGCAGTGAGTTTTAGAGTTATAACTCACTTGTGCAGTGCTTCATGTTCATTTCGTCTGATCCACATTGGTCAAAGGTATAAAAATTCCTTCCTGCTTTCTCATAGCATTAAAGGCATTTAAACTTGTGAAATGACCTAAATAATGCACCTTGAAATTCTTGATGGGCCCATGTAGCAATTCACGGCAAAGTGAATGCAGTTTCTAACCCTAACACTCCAATGTTTCTTTACCTAGAATATAAGAAACTAGTTAATTCAATTATTTAATGGTACTTTTTTCCACCTTTTGATCTTTATAACATAGCATATCATTCTAATAACATTATACCAGTGACCTGGAATGTAAAGCAAAAGATCCCAGCTCCCAAAAGCCACATAACTTAATTTTTTTTAGAGGTTTTTTTTTTTTTTTTTGGAGGCCATTTTCCCTGAAAGCCTTTGAGACAATCTTGACAATTTCTGAATTCATTATATCCCTAAGAACTCTGCTGGTGCCAGGAAGAATTTTGGTAACAGACCAATACACCCCCTTCTCACTTACACATTTATAGTCCAAAGACCAAGTCATTATGCAAAATTTGTGTTATGAGAAAATGGAGGATGACTATGTCCTGGGATAACTGCCATACCACTGAGAATGATGGTCTAGCCAAGGTGACACATAACCTTAACCATCATAACCAACATTACTCACCTTGCACCTCAGCGTTCATTACTGCCAGATGTATGTCGCTAATGTGCAAAACAGTGGGATAGATTCTTTACTATTTTACTTGTAAAATGTCAGATACCAGATACAGAGATAGTTGGTTAGTGAAAAGTATGTACATTAACTGGCTTTAACGCTGGATGACTTAAAATTGGAAGTTAATTGCAATATATGCAGCAAGACAGCAAACCTTCAAGGTCTAAGATCAATAGTGGAGTCTGTGTGCAGACTTTTTTTTTAATAGTTTATTTTTTGTTATTGAGAACATAAACAGTAGAACATACTCCAATTCAGCAATTTCTGCATGGACAACTGAGTGATTAAACTTTTCAACTTGAGCAACCATTATCACTCCTTTTCCATCCTCCTCCATTAATATAAACGCACTATTCCCTAAGTTGCTGCTGTTAATTGGATCCCACATATATAGATCTTAAAAGAGAACCCTGCTTAAGGCAGGCAGACATTGTTTACTACCAAACTATCGTTTTGTTTTAAAAAGACTTCAAGGGGTATTTTTGGTTTAAGTTTGAAAGATTATCTCAGCAATAGTTTTGAGGGTTCACAATGGTTTTTAGTCTCCACAGCTCCAGAAATGCTAAATTCCAGGGGAATTTGAAATTCTCTTCTGCAGAATTCTCCTTTTTGTTCAGGATTCTGTAGAATCTCTGATCAAAATGTTTAATAATTGTAGCCGAGCACCATCCAGTTCTTCTGGACTCATGACAAAGGAGGTAGTTGATCATGGAGGCAATTCCATTTCTCCCTCCTATTCCTGACACTACTTTGTTGATCCAAATGATCACCAATTGTTTATACCATCGTGTTCTGGTTACTTAGTGCTGTTCTGACAAGAATATACCACAAATGGGATGGCTTGAACAAACAGGAGTTTGTTCTCTTACAGTTTAGAGGCTTAAAGTCCAAGTTCAAAGTGCCAGGCTCTAGGGGCTGGATGAAAGCCCCTCAGCCTTGGGCTTCAGCTCTGTCTCCTGTTCCCGACTCACTGGAGCTAGAGGCTTTTCTTCACTCAGCTGCTGGCTGCTGAGGCTGACAAACCCAAGGTTGACAAGTAACAAGGCATAATCTCAATGTACCAAACCACACGGCAGGCCATTAATTCAAGTTCATTGAAAGTCCCAAGGTCGGCAGAGCATGGCAGGCTGCTGAACAATGACACGGCTACATGCAGCGTTCAAGTGTGCCATAAGCTAGAGACCATTCCCAAGCTGTTTCTTATATATGGGAAGCAGGCCACATACCCAAAGGAGCTACTCAGCTGCTCCAGTAGATTCCAACATGGGGTTAATTACCAGTCTTACCATGGGGAATAATTACATTCAGCTGGCCAGCCACTCAACCAGGTCCAGCCAAGTTGACATACAAACTTATCCACCACACATGAATAGCCACTTGCAAGCTTCTGAGAACCCAGGCAGCACTAAGCAACAAACTAGGAGATAGGATTGTTGTTGTTGTTATGTGCCGTCGAGTCGGACCCGACTCGTAGTGACCCCTCCTTGGGCTTCCGAGGCAGTATCACTACGGAAGTAGATTGCCCCATCTTCCTTCCGAGGAGTGGCTGGTGGATTTGAACCGCCAGCCTTCTGGTTAGCAGTCAAGTGCCTTAGCCACTATGCTACCAGAGCTCCCAGGAGATAGGATAGAAGCATTAAACACAATATTAGGCCTAATAGCTGGGTTGTCCCATGAAGCTATGACCCTAAACCTCCAAACCAAGAAACCAAATCCCATGAGATGTTTGTACATAAGCAGCCTCAGCAACTGCTCTTTTTTGTTGTTATAAATATATCTTATTACACAATTTTTGCCAATTCACCTTTTTACTGGTACAGTTCAATGACAGGTACAACTTTCACAGGTATAGAACTTACAGCAATTTTTTTATTTTTTAAAATGCATTTTATTGAAATATAATTTATGTACAGTGAAACACACAAAACTAAAGTGACATGGGCCAGTGCATTTTATGTTGTTGCTGCAGTGTTCCCTCTGCTCCCCTCCCACCCCTGGCAACCAACAAAGAAAGTTTCCCTCCATACATAAATCTTTCCTTGACCCTCCACAACAACGAACTAATACTGTATTTGTCCTTCTGTGACTGACTTATGTTACTCAGCATAATGTCCTCCAGGTTCACCCATATTATGCAGTGTTTTGCAGACTTTACATTATTCTTTAGTGCTGCATGTTTTTGTTGTTGTGTGCCATCGAGTCAGACCCGACTCATAGCGACCCTCCTTGGGTTTCCGAGACATTATCACTATGGAAGTAGATTGCCCCATCTTCTGAGGAGTGGCTGGTGGGTTTGAACCGCCAGCCTTCTGGTTAGCAGTCAAGTGCCTTAGGCATTATGCTACCAGAGCTCCTTAGTGCTGCATAGCATTCCATTATGTGTATGTACCATAGTTTGGTCATCCACTCTTCTGCTATAAATCTTAGCTCTAAGTCCCTTGCCAGATATGTAATTATCAGCAAATATCAATTTGTTGCTGTCATTTTTATTATGTGCTTTTTCATGGTCTCAATTTCTTTGTTCCATATAATTTTCTATGCTGAGCTCGTTTTGTTTATGAATCATGTTATCACTTCCTTCATTGCTATTGTTTTAGTATTTGCTGAATATATATGCTGGTCCTCTTTTTCGATGTGAAGGTTTTTCATTTTTCTTTGAGGTTACGCTGTGATTTATAGTTTTCTTCCCAAGTTTAGAACAGTTCTTTCTATCTTGTTGTCTTGACTTCCCTACTATCTAGAAGTTCTGTAATGATACAGTTTTTTCCCTCTTTTTTGTTTGTAGTTGTCCTCATTTGTCAATTGATGTCTCTGACTCCCTGTTTACAATCTTGTAGCCTTATTTACTTTGGATACTTCCATAGCTGGGTTGGTTTCTGGGTTATATCATCATATGTGTTAATGGTCAGTTGTTGGCTGTTATTGCTTCTCTGT